TTGGCACGATGAGGAGCAACGGACTTGCTGATCGGTGAATGGACCGAGCTATGCGACTATATATGAAACGTCCAACAAGTTCTATGACAATAGATGCTGAGTTTGCGCCCTTTTTGTGTTATAACAAAATGACAATGAAAAGAGACGTTATTGAACTAATAATGTGATAAAGTTCCCAGAAATCAAACTACAACATGTACTTTTGAATGGATGCCATATTTATTTTACACTCTCATCATATAGCACTTAATCCCATAGTGGCATTCTATTTATAAAAAAAAAAAAAAACATTAAGATGCTTAGGCTACAAGTCATGGAGTTGGTCATTGAAAATTTTGTGCATATGCTTGAAGGACAACTATTAGTACGTATCTATCAGTTATTTAGAAAATACCCATAATAGAAACAGATTTATTTACAGCGAGACAAATTACCTACCTGGAAAAGTACTTTACCAATTATTTATAAAGGTACCCCTCCTGTCAGGCTTTATTTTGTTACCGCTTTGTGTAAATGAGAATAAATAGACGTTTATTTGCATGCATAATCCTCGGGTATCTACATTGCTTTTGCCGTTACAAAATTCATCATTAGTAATATGTCTGAGTATTTTAATAAAAGGTACATTTGGTAGATATTATTATATAATGTTTAATAAATCCATATTATGTTCCTTTTAGAATTTTGAGAAAATCTGTTTTAGTGCTAATTTGTATTATTATAAGGAAAAATATTGCATATATATATTATATATATATTAACTATGCCTATAAGATTAAACGTAAAGTTCAATTGTTACTTCTTTCTAAATAGTTTAATTGTAAGAAAAAGTCCATGGGCAAAATCTCTGTTTCGCTATTAGTTGAAAAATAAAATAAAAATCCTCATTTCCCTTATGGTGGCTTATTAAAGTATATTAGACATAATTAGCTAAGTACAGAATAACTCACTCAAACTACAGAGTTCGAAGTATACCGGAGTGTGTGGTATCCGCCCAAGAATATGTTTAATTTTATGTTTCATACATACATATGAAGCGTCTACCACCTACTTGTATTATATGAGTATCCGCATGATTCAGTGAATAATGCATTTAGAACTTTAGATAGTCTATTTTGTACAGAGTCAATATGAGAATGTCGATAATTTGATTTTAGTTTATTAAAGATAATTTTTTAGATCATGATTTATCTCAAGTCATTCATTGGGATCGATTATTATATGTTATTAAACAAAGTTCTTTCTAAAATAAAATTTTTATTTAACAGTTTAATAAACTCTATTGATTAATAAATTAAAATTAGTTCGTAGTCAATTTTATTAAAAAATCCTTAATTAATACTAAACATAGAATGATTTAATTGTGATAATTGTAGAGCAGTATATTGCTTTAGATTCAATGTCATTGACATTTCCATTTATGTTAAAAAAATGTACATTTCATTAAATTAATCACAATTTGTAAAGGCTCGCGGATAATCCGCCGGTAGTCCAATGAAGGTTACATTGATAAACGAGTATGTTTTAGGAAGATTATTGGCGAGCGCGCGAGAACGTTTTACGTGACTGTTAATAAACCGACGTACTTAACTGTTGCCGAGTAGAAAATGTCTCATTCAGATGAACGGAAAGTTGGATTAATACATCTGTTATTTTTGTGAATGTAAATATGATAATGGAATTGTAACTCCGCCTACGCTATGGTATATTCTGGCGGGGTACCAGTAGGGATAATAGGTGAGAGTGAAATCCGATTAGTTGGCGTGATGGATTTACCAGGAATTAACCACGATGGTTTCCAAGGAGACCGCATGAAGGTCGCCGGATAGGGTTATTGCTTGTAATGGCACCATTAGTCCCTTTTATTAACGAGCCGGTCCCCCCATAACGTGTTGTACAGTAATTACAACACTTCAAATGGTAATTATCACGATAGTAACTTCTAATCTAATCGGTGTAAATCGAGACATTAATAAGATGATCTTTATTTAAACGCTGCTCTAAGTATTTGCGAATGTTTGAAATCTTTGATCGTGGTTCAGCAAATTTTAAGTTTAATTAACTTTGAATATCGCTAAGAGTCATTTACCTATTCTATTGGATAATCCTTTTTAATTATGTCTGGCTGGTCTTTTTAAGACAGTCGTGAATATGTGCATATTCGTATATTACGAGTTAATTTATTGCCTGCTATTTTTTATAATATGTCTTATAATAGATATTATTAATTGACAATTGCGTTGCTGTATTGGGTAATTTATTGTACATTTTTATTTTTAGATATATGCCTTGTTTCATAGTTTTTGTTAGTCGTGTTCTTGGCAATTTCAATTTGTCTTTATTTCTCGTGGCGTAACTATGAATGGCTGAATTTTTACGAAGAGTACGAGTAAGAGATTAGTAATATATAGTATTAGAACGTTAATCTTTTTAGAAGTAAATAAAATAACATGAATGCATTTAATACTATTACTGACACATCTAAACTGCCATGTGGTCTTGGCATAGAATAAGTCACCCCTTCCTTTCCTGTATGTATCGTAAGAGGCGCCTAAGGAAAAGATAAAAAAGGCTAAGCGAACCAAAGTCTAACTGCGGTTGTCAAGTCGCTTGCCAAGCGTGGCTACAACTGGCAAAATTCCTCTTATGGGGAAGGCAGCAGTGAACAGTTAAGAGCTGAATAGATACACCTACACTATTCGTTTCCTAAATTAAACGTAAAACCTATTACTTGATATGCCATATGAGACAAACCCCTACAGATGTATTAAATCTTCATTGTACAATTATTTAAAAAGTGTTTTACATTTTTTATATAATAATGAAAAATATATTAAATTAAAGTAAACTTTGTCACGTCAACTTTTTGAAACAAGATTATATCTTTTTATTTTTGCCTGCAGGTTTAATCTAAATATCGTGGAATAATCTCACGACAAGAAGGAATAAGTAGGCTATCTGCACTTGGCAGGAACCTAAAACAACTTGTTACTTGTTAAAAGATTTTATTCACGAGTAAAAGTGGATGACAGTTTTGTTTGAAGGCGAAGTTTTCGTTTATAAATAGATACTGTCATTATCAACTTTATATAGTTAGATGTTGATATAATGTTATATAGTATAAATCTAGACATTCAGCAGTCTATCAAGTTCAAGCCAAGAGCTAAGGCCCTTTTTAACATTTATATTTTTGATGGGATATTGAATATATCACTGTCAGTTCTTTTATTAATATCTTATTAGAATAAAATATACTGTTATGTTGTTAAGTACAGTACTTGGGAATAGTTAAAGGGATATAGCATTTTTTATAGATTCGTAAGAGTCCAAGTGAGGTTATAACAGGGGGTTTAATCATGCTTAAAATGGAAAAAGGATTTACATTAACAAAAAGGATTACATACACGCAGACAGATAAACATACATGCATATTATAGCACTTTTTATTTTGGGCAAAATTGCAGATTTGAAATTATAGCAGATTAAAAAAAAAGGTGAATAAATTTTTAGATTAAAAATACATAGCTATGTAAATCAATAAAGCATTATATTGCTCGACTGATTATATTTTATCAATTTTATTAAGAGCCTTTTTTATATACCTATTTTCATTTCAATGAATTAAGAAACTGCTCTGTGGAACTTGGATCCCATTTAGTGAGTGCGATTCCATTGCACTCTCATCATTATATTGAAAGATAGGTACATACTAAGATTTAGACTTTGGAAAATATTTAATTATATATTAATTGTTCTTAGTTTAATGTAAAAATAAATGCTATCTTCGAATTTTTAGTTGACATTAATTTAGTTACTATAACTTAAACGAGGTATTAATGATTTAACCGTTATTGTAAGTTAAAGTAGGCGTCGTAGTTATTCAGGTTTCTTTACGTAATAAAAAACTATAAAATAATGCGACACTATAATATAACAAAGAAGAAGTATTGTAGTTTATAATGCGATAAGGCTCTCTCAAAAACTTTTAGCTCTATGACTAGATATTTCTTTCCAGAACAAAGAGCAGAGGTACCTACTTGCATAAAACTACTATATTATCTAAAGTATGTTTCAGAAACCACGGATAAGCTGTTATTAAATATTTTGACAGGTAGCTTGATTAATATAAAATTAATGAGAAGAAAAAATAATTTATTTAAAATTAATCTAAAAATAAATGTAAAAGAAACTACCTTTCAATTTTTGTATATTATGGTTTAGCTCACATGTCGAGAAACAATTTAAATGTATACGGAATCCCGTCAAATCTGACAAGTACGTTGATTGTATACCAAATTGTCTAATATCATTTTTTGTTTAGGCATTATTTATTTTACATTAATACAATGTACGTTAAAATTATTAAATATTTAAATAATATAATATTTATTAAATAGTATAGTATAATAAATTATTTTATCTTTTGAGAGGTCTTAAATAATTCGACACAAATTATCGTATCACATAAAAGGAAAAAGTTGCAAGTGGGCTACATATTGGTATGTACGTATTATAGTAGATAGAGCCTTAAATTAGGTCATGCAAGCATGCAGCTAAGTATGAAAATTCAGTTAAAGGTATATCTATCATGTTAATTATTAATGCAGATTGGTAAACCACTATGTATTCAGTATAATTATTAAAATTCCGTTATATACCAAATATTTTTATTTGATCCTTACGTTTATGATAATTATTTTAAAAAATCAAATGTTATTTATGATACTCTGTGGAGTAGATCTGTGTCCCACAATGGACAATTAACGGCTGAAATTATGGTCATGAAGATTATATGATATAATTGTTTACCAGTAGAGATGATATTGATCAGGCGTGATAATTATAACTATGTAATGAAATTAAATAAAGGAAAATATTACAGACGAAACATTTAAGCAAGTAAATGCATTTAAAAAGAACAATATACCAATAGAATTTGAATCCATTGCCGATTTTAATTCACATGAAATACTCAATGAGAATATAATGATAGAACTCACCTGTGTTTTAGAAAACCAAACGGATACAGCAGCTACAATCAGCAGGTAAACAATGACACCCGAAAGAGAATTGTCACAACACGTGTCCTTTATCACTGTCCTTTAGAATGTTTCAGATCAAGATATGGATAATGTTCAGATATATTTCACAGGACCAACGTTTTGCTCGATGGAGCTTTCACGAGCGACTGGGCGACGCGCAGCCGTACCATCCTATATATACGACGTTGTATTGCTACGAGCCGCCCGCCTTCCTCGAGTTTTATGCAAAAATATCGAAGGAATTCAGCGCCCAATTCTCGCTGTCATTGCTTTACCGACACAATGGGATCGTTGATCTCGGTCCATCTGCATCCAGCGACAGCTGACCAGTTTCTTAAACGTTTATGACCGGATTACGAATCGTTTGTATTTGTCACCTGACCATATATGGACGAAGATGTTTGCTCCCATTAGATTAATTAGAACACGAATTATGAATATGACATACAGTAAAACTTCAAAAGAAATTATTATGAGTATTTTTCTTACCTTGCAGGAAGAGCATTAGCTCAAAAATAGGGAACTAGGTTAAGTGTATAGTACAAACGTTATTATATTTTATAACAGTACGTAGCCATTGTAAAAATGTCTTTTTCATATACCCATATGAATTACGACTACTAATAAATGGCAAATAAAATTGTAAATGTGCAATTAAAGAAAATAACAATAAATTATGTGACATAAATTTATAGACTTATTAAATTGCCCGAGGAATATTACTTTGAGATTACAGTAGAACGTAGAATACGGTACCTAAATTATTTAATAAAAAAAAACTGGGAATTTGATCGAGATTGTAACACTCATGTGTTAAGTTTACAGATCACAGAAACGTCCAAGGTAATTACAGTGATTCTGGCCAAAAAAACCAGATCAAGGATACTATGAATACTTCTTCAAACAACATTGGATTTCTCGAATTACTTATTTTTATTGTTATTGGTTTATCCGCGCCATTTATTACGAGGTGCCGATTACTGAAGTTATGATTGCATTTTACGAGTTACGGATTTATTCTTTGCCGTCGCATACATTTTGGCAGATTCCACTCACTCATTCATTTCTATTCAATTTGTCGTATAAATTTATGACGCAATTGTTATTATAACCAATAGGAGTATCGGAAATGATAATTTTGATTCTAATAATGCATATTATAATGATAATGATATTACAAGTATTGAAAATGTAAATATAACATATAATGTAATTCTAACAGATGTTGCTAATCATATAATAGTTGATATAATTTAATCGAAGGCAAATTGTGTACAGGAATTACTCATTTATGGATCTTGAAATGTGATTACATTCATATATAGATTTTTGTTTATACACACACCACATGGAGTTTAAAGTTCCGAAAATTGTCTGTGTGATTTTTAGTAGAAAAGATAGATATAGTGATTATAATATATACATTTTGAGTATAATTTTCCTTGTTCAATTTTTAACTCGTTTCGGGAGGAAGGAGGTGTAAAGGAAACTATTCTTAAATTGAATGTATTTTTTGCATGTATATTGAATATAATCGTCAATGGTTAACTCTTTTAATTATACTTTTATAATCCCATTTTGATCCCATACTATTTTAGTCAAATTTGAAGTTTTAATAAAAAAATATCTAAAACTATTATTTGAAGTCTTAATGATTTCAAAATAATAATTTCGGACATTTTGATTCACGATCGTATAGTTATTTAGAATAAAAAGCTAAAGTAATTATTATTTAATACTTTGTTTTGATTTTTAAAGTAATGGCTGGGTGTATCATAAAGTATCATAATATAGGTTAGTACTGAATGAAATAACGAGTAAATACAACTTGTTCTACTAACACAGATGTTGACCTCATTTAGGAATAAAATATATTTTAAATTGATATCGTTTCCACGCATAACTATTTATTATTGATATGGTTTATTGTATTGTATTGTAAAAATCTTTATTGTACATAAGTCAGATTAAATACTAGTAAATGATTTAGTATACAATGGCGGACTTATCCCATAAAGGGATCTCTTACAGTCAACCTTTGAGAAGCTGAAAGAAAACTGTAGAATGTATAAGGGTAATAACCGTACAATTAAAGATAAACTAAATAATACCCAGTAAAAAAAAAAAAAAATTGAATATATAACACAATAAAAACAGCTCTATATACCTACATATGTAAATAATAAAAGTAAATTAATAATAATATAACATTAATAAATAAAAACTTATACACATACACATACATATATACACATATACACACATACATATACATATACATATATATATATACATATATATACATACATACACATACATATATACACTCCTACATACACATACATATACACATACATATACATACATGTATACATAATAAATACATATATTCACAATTGGCTCAATGAAGAGGGATTTTCAAAATAAAATTTTATGATACCTGCTTTAAAAGATTTCAGCGACTGTGCCATCTTTAAGTTATTAAAGTGAATTCCAGAGACGCAGCATGTACAGTAAATGACATGGCATAGCTTTGAGTATTAAAACAAGGCAAATCTATAATGAAGTCATTACTGCATCTCAGGCGAACATCAATTTCAAATTTGAATCTTTCCTGAAGGTAATGTGGACATGTTGGATTAAAAAGGATATTGAAAAGAAGAGTAAGAATGTGGACATTTCTCCGTAGCCTGATAGGAAGCCATTTGAGTTGACGGTTGATATGTGGTCATACTTTCGAAGGTTATAGATGTATCTAATACATTGACAGTCGCTCAAGTTTATCAAGAAGCTCCTGTGTGGGATCTAGGTAGGCAACATCAGCATAGTCTAGAAGAGGAAGAAGAAGAGATTGAGCCAGTAAAAGTCTAGTTCCTAAAGGGAGGAAGTTCTGCAGTTTATCATTAGAGTTTTTTTTTTATACAACTTAGGCATATAGCAAACATGCTGACGGCCCACCTGATGGAAAGTTTATTAGACACATACCATTAACAGAGTGTTTCACCCATGATTTATTCCTGAGGACATCAATATTCATATATCATTCAAAAAACACAGCTATGCAAACACAACTGCTTTACGGTTGAAATACGAATGGGACAGAGGTACCCAAGCAACCGACTTTTGTACAAAGTCTCCCTCTAGTAAAGTTTATTCACATATTATGTTTTGATTTATTGCATCAATATTCATAATCATAAAAAAATCTAAGGGAGAAATTATAGAGTACAAATGCATAACACCTCAGTCCTCAGAAATGGTCACTTATGAAGAGTATCATAGGCGACACAGTATACTCTGTTATGTCAACGGTACTGTTCATGTTCGTCAATAGGTGACGGTTACTATTCTCCATTAGGTAGGCTGTCAGTTTGCCATTCTAAGCTGCATAAAAATAACACCTATAAAATATTGATTACATTTGATGGTGGTTAGGATGTTAAACAATCCTAAGCAGTAATATTATAAACAGCTAAATTGAGTTGGTGTACACTTATATATACCCTCTATTTCTTTTACAGATTTCTTACCATAACTGAAGGTCAGCCTTTCAAATTCATCTTTTTTTGTTTACAGTAAGGATGGTGACAGATATATCCCTACAGATAGATCATATTCTAGAGTCCATTTTAATGGAATTTAATGAAAATGTTAGCAAACGAATAATTGTTCCGAAAATAAGATAATGTGTTGATGTCCAATAGTCAAAAACCAGCGGTATCAGTAGTAGAAAATTTATTTATGATAATTTGTGTAAATGCTCATTTTGTTTGTTACTAATTTCACGTAGAAAGTGTTTCTGTTATAATTTCAATAAAGCTTGGTTATAATTTTAATAAGTTGTATTAAAACAGCTTATACCTAACGTTTATTTGACAAGGTTAGCATGTGATCCCGGCATAGAACGGGCCAACCATTTCTTTCTCGCGGATCTCGTAAGAGACGGTTAAGCGAATTTAGTGGTCGAGGGATGGGCAGCAGTGTCCCTATTAAAACGCCACCGAAGCCTAACTGAACTTGCCAATCCACTTGTAAAGCGTGGCAACTATTGGCAAAATTTCGCAAGGGCTACGTTTAGCAGTGGTCAGTTACGGTTGATATGTAGAAACATAAAGTTTGTGTGAGCCAAATTCACGCGTATGAAGCCGCGGTATAAAGTCAGACAATTAAAACCGTTTGAAGTTGTTAATTTAATGTCTGTATTTATAGATATGAAAGTGAGAATTTATGATTTAATAATTATGTTTACCGTATCGTACTCCATGGTTTAAGTCTAATCCCTGTACCTTATAAATTATTATTGCACTTTTAGCGTGCTACTGAATTTTGAACTCTAAAAGGTTATTATACGTTTTTATAAGTAGATAAAATTTCCATAAGTAAATATGATTCTTATAGTTAATTTTAAATAATATGATTTTTAGACAAAATAATTAGATGAATCTTAAAGTTCAGTATAACGAAGTTGTAAATGTCACTTGTTCAAGATCAAATATTTTTATAAGCATGTCAGTACATTTACTTTGTTGTATATATTTATGTTACATATTTATATTACATTATATGTTAGGTACATAAATTTAAGGATGTAATAAATTATGACTACATACGTAAAATAAATGCCGTCAAAGATGGTATCGGTAATTACAATATATGAGACATGTACTTAAAATGTCTTATAAATTAGAATAATGAAAACATAGACCTTCATAGTTTGTGTTAGTAAACAATTTTTAATGTATTAGTTATGTATAAACATCTAATTTGTGTTCGTGCCAATTGGAACTCGCGGGATTTTTTTTTATAATTTAAAAAAAAATTTTGTACACATAACTTACTTGTTAGTATTTACTTAAAAAAAGACTCCATTTAAATTCCGCAGTTACAATTTAATAACTTTAAAACCTCAACCAATGATTAATAAAAAATAAAGACTGTCCAGTAATTTTCATTATTGCTGTGTTATGCATTGCTGAATCGTATTATTCCGTTGAGAACCAAAGAGGCTGATTAACGTATTTGTTTGTACTTAACGACGTTATTTTTAAACAAGCAACGATGTCTGAATAAATCGGAGAAAATATTATTTATCCTTTTCTAAAAGAACATTACGCTAGTTTTCTGTAGGTAGAAAACTAACTCATCTAACTAGTCCTTTAT